TACACAGCCCTCGTCGAAGTTCGCAAACCATTTCATGAACTTAGACAAGGGCTCTTTGTATTTTGCAATGTACACGGGCCACATTTCATGCCCAATGCACTCATGCTGACAGGGTGTTGTTTTCTACAACGGCGACTTCCTGACAGAACATGCACCCTCATCACGAAAAGGATTCTTTGTGTTCTACGACGGCCACTTCCTGACAGAACGCACACAGAACGCCACGCCCCCTCATCAAGAGTATATCAGGCCAGCCAGGGAGAGGAAGACAGCAGCAGCCCAGGAAGGAGTGAGAGAGTGGTAGCCAAAGCTAGGAAGGGCGCCTGGAGCCATACTTCGAGGTAGGGTGAGGAGGAGGGTGATCAGGAGTGTGAGTGGAGAGAAAGAGAGAGAGTGGGAAGCTTACCTTGACTTACCTGTGCACTGGTGACACTGGAGCTGCTACAGGTGACATCAGGAGGCTGAAGAAGGCAGGCGGTGCCAGGCCCCAACCTCCATAGCCAGCACTGATGCTGGAGGTTGGGTGCCATTTCTAGTACCTGCAGAGAGACTTCATCAATGACTTCAGGGATACGCTTGCATGCTGAGGTGGTAAGTTGGTGGAAGAAGGTCCCCGAGATGAAAAGGGTGAAAGAGATGCTTCAATTGTATTGTTGATTATGAACGAACTATCCTCCCTCTCTCTCAATTGTTTCTCTACCTTTGCCTCACTTCAGGTGACTTGCTACCTATTCTGGGACGACATTGAGTGCATCTGGATTTGTGCTGCATTATGAAAGGTTCCATTTCCAGCGCATAGTGGATACTTGCACTCTCATGATTGACAGGCTCGTTGCAGTGTAATGACCTGCAAAATCACAGACTGAGAAACCTGCTGTTTTTTAAACCTTTTTAAGTATTGCTGCGCGTTTGACTGACTTGCTGAGATTTCAGTATTTTGCTGACATTTCTAAGTATGCATGTGTGCATGATTGCTGAGATTGTGTGTGCTTGCCTGCATGAATGATGGCATATGTGTGTATGTAGGGATAAGTAAACTGTGTGGTGGAATGGCCCGTGTGCCTGGTGCTTACCTGTGGCCATGTGTGTGAGGGGTTGAAGCAGGGTAGTAGGGTAGAGTAGGTGTGCACAGACCGGAAACAGTCAAGTAGCAAGTAGGTAGGCAGAAAAGACCAAAAGGTAGTACCTTGGGAAGTCGAGGTAGCTTTTAGAAGTCCGGTAGGCTTCGGGGAGAAAGTCTAGAGCCTGCAGGACAGGAATACCAGACTGCAAAGATGTTCCCTCTGAAAGTATGAGGTACCAGTAGGCTTGGGAGGCCGCACAACCTAGAAGCAACCATGCAAAGAGGCCCTACTCCGGTATATCAACTAGAGGAGGCAAAGTGCTCAGCCTCATTTGCTTCCGTGCAGCTTGGAGGCACACTGCTGGAGCGACCGCCCAGCTGAGGCAGCGCTGGGTGGAGGAAGAAGGCGGGGCTTGGCATCCACCTCGGGTATGGTGGAAGGCACCAAGGAGGAGTGTCGAAGAAGGGGGAAGAAAAAGGAGGAGGAGGGAGGAGGAGGAGAGTGAGGAAGGCTCTTACCTTGCCTATGGTGGTCTATATCTTCTTGGTTGGCACTGCACCTGGAAGGCCCCAAGTGAGGTGACACCTTGAAGGGAGACTGTGGGGGTGGAAGTAAGCATGGCAGCCATAGTGGGAGAGATATAGTAGCTTTGCGTAGCCCTAGAACATCGGAGCCTAGCACCGATGGTCCGCCGTAGCCACCGGCTAGACCGAGTAGGAGAAGGAGATGTGGGATGGCTATGATGGACGTTTGAGAAGCTGGCACTAAGGGGAGAATTCAAACTCTGATTCTGGTATTCATTCATCGTTGTTGATTATTATTGTGAATTGAGGGGGCGATGCTGGAGGAGGGAGTCAAGGCGAGATGAAGGAGGAGTGACGTTGGTTCTGGCTTCTGGTCATCTTCTTCTTCTTCTTTCATTCCCATCTCTTCTTCTTCCTTTGTCGGTATCTCTTTCCGATCTCTTTGATATCAGTTGCAATTGAACGGCACTGTCCTTCTTTCAGTTTTTTGTACTCTAAGATACCCAGGATCATAACAGTATTTCAGTTGCAATTGAACAGCATTGTCCTTCCTTCAGTTTTTGTACTCTTAAGATACCCAGGATCATAACAGCAGTTGGTTCTTCTTTTATTTATATTATAATAATCTTCATTTTTGCAATCAGACTCGTTTTCTTTTTACTCAGCATGCATGGAAACAGATGGCAATCACACTGGCGACAATGCGCCCACACAAAGCTCAGAGATATTGTGGCCAAGAACACAGTTCAGATTCAACTTGCTTCGAAATAGCTATGGCGCTTGTACGCCTTCACAACACCCTTCCACGTTGTCTCCTCGGCAATAGTTCACACGCACGCTACTCTGGATCTCCCTGAATGTCCCACACACGCTAACCACTCACTGCACACTCATACAAAAACACGCTGTAGGCTATCTCTAACCTAGCGCAGCTATGGCTGCTCGCTACCCCTACCACTACTCGCGGCTATGGCCGCGTCATCTCCTTCGCAGCCCTCTTCTTCCTCGGGCACCAGCAGACCTCCTTGCACAAGTCCCTCTGGCAGCGCTTCCGCATGGTTCGCAGTCTGAATGAATGAATTGCTGGACGCTGCCTCTTGATTTATACTTCTGTTGGTGCACACAGTCCCACATGGTACCTGCTGACTGGACAAAGTGCGACTGGGACTGGGTACCGCTGACTCGACAAAGCTGGACTGCCCACTTGCCCACTTGCCTCTGGCCAAACGTGAACAACTCTTGAAAGGCCACTTCCGGACCTTCCGGAAGTCTGTAGACTTGGCCTTTCGGGACTGGAGCAGCTACGACTTTGACCTTTCAGAATTGCAACAGCTATGACCCCTACACAGCTACAGACCCTACCTAACAGACCTACGGTTCAAAACCCGACAGCCCCACTATCCTACGACATCAGAAAGGCGACTCGCAAGACACAGGTCGCAGGTTCAAACACACACAGGGCAACTGATACTGACATGGGTAAGGGCAAGGTCTGGGGATCGAGCCCTGGGATCTGCATCTGCTACCGTAAAGGTGAAACCATTTCATTTTGTTCCAGGGCCTGTCCCAGGATCGACCAGGAGCCTGCCTGTTGCACCGGGTGGTCGACCGGCCCGGCAAACTCCCAGTTCAAGTTAGTGCATTGCACTTGGAGGAGGGGAGGGGAGGACCGGGGATTTTTGGTTGTCCCCGTGCCTGCCCAGCTTCTTGGAGGTCGCCGCCGCCGTCTTTTTTCTGAAAACCGGGCCTGCCGGACCCCGTTGTTTCAAAAAAACATGCGGCAGATCTCCACCGCTGATCAGCGCAGATCGGGGGCCAGATCTGCCATGTGTTTTTTCAAAAAAGCGGGGTCCAATACGCCCTTGGTTTCGATTCAAAATGCAACCAGATCAACATACCTCTGCCCCCGGCCCCACGCCCCACTTGCTAACCAAAAGTCGGCCTAACCCACCCCACTTCCGAATCCGAAATCCGCTTACCCACGCCCCGCTTGCGAACCCGAAATCGGCCAACCCCCGCTCGAACGACGTCGAACACGAAATTGACATCATGGCCATTCAAGCGGACGTCAATGTCATGAACGCACAGACTGCCAGTGCCATCACCCCTGCGCCAGCCCACCAGCGCCATCACCTCTCCGCCAGCCCGCATGCGTAGGTGGTCTTTTTTTGGGGGGGGTCTTCTTCTTTTGGGGGGTTCTTCTTCTTCTTCTTCTTCTTCTTCTTCTATTGCTTCTTCTTCTACTTTTTTCTTGTTCTTCTTGTTCTTCTTGTTCTCCTTCTTTCTTCTTCTTGGTCTTCTTCTTCTTCTTCTTCTACTGCTCTTTTGTCGTCGGGTTCTTGGAGAGAGAGAGAGACAGATCTCCGCCTCTTCCTCCTACTCCTCCCCCTTCTATAGTGCTGTCTTCTCCTCCTCCTCCTCCTCCTTCTCCTCTTCGTCTTCTTCTCCTTTTTCATCAGTTTCTTGGAGAGAGGGAGAGAGAGAGAGAGAGAGAGAGAGAGAGAGAGAGAGAGAGAGAGAGAGAGAGAGAGAGAGAGAGAGAGAGAGAGAGAGACACCCTCCCCCAAGGAAAGACCAACCCACCTGAAAGCGACCTCCCAACCCACCCCAACGTCCTCTCCCCCCCAGGGAACACCCCCCCAAAAAGAAATCATATCTTCGAAGTTCCATTGCGGAATGCGACCGATCTTAGCGAGCTCAGTCGGATCCCGCAATCAAACAAAAAGGAAAAGAAACTTTTGCGCATTATTTTGGGCCAACCCGTTTTCCGGTTCCCCTCCCCTGGACCGGTCTGGCACCGGTTGAACTGGCCCAGGTGAACGGGTTGGTTGCCGGCCCAGCCCTGTTTTTATCAATATTTCGCCCCTGCCTGGCCAGGCCCACCGAGATGGATACCCGAGCAGGCAAAGCCAGCCTGAGTCACCTGGCTGGTAGCAGGCGTTATAAAAGACCAAAAGGAGAATAGGTGTTAAAACACCATTACCTCCGAGCCTCTTTTTCCCGATGCAGATCTACACTGCGTGCCAGAGAAAAACGAACAGCCAGCAGCACACTTTTTTCCTTTTTTGGCTTGCGCCGCCAGCCATTTTGGTCCCATACAAAATCTTCCGATCGAGTTGATTTTGATCATCAGGTTGCCTGGGAAGCGCCCTTGTGGTTTAAGGCACTCCGCCAACAACTGGCCCCAGTGATTGTCCCAGCATTCCCTCCAACCCGAACCTCATTTCCTCTCCTATAAGCCATCCCCCCTCTCCATCTGAACCTTGACTCCCCTGGCATTTCAACCTTTACCTGATGTTCTTCCTGATTCCCCACATATTTGGATTGAAACTTGGAAATGACCAAACCCAGAACAAATAAAAAAACAAAGGAGGAAGCAGATGAAAGCAACAGGATCGAAAAGCACACTTACCATAACTGCAGTTACTCGTCCAGGTGAAAGCTTGCCAGTAACGTTATCCAATATCCTTTTTCCCGAGCTCTTCAGAGTCAGGGATAGGTTTGTGAACTCCAGCTCTATCCCTTTCACCAACCCATTGCCAACCTGCTCAAACACACAATACAAACTGAAGTGAACATTTTCGGAGTACAAAGGGCATGATTCTCAGTCGATACATGTTGGCATCAGTCACCAAACAATGATTACTAAAATTGCAAGCGTGCATAACCAGTCTTCTGGGGGGCAAAGAAGGAAAAAGAAGATTCGGCTGGAGCCTGGAAGCTCTGGGCTAACCCCATCCCTTACCAGTCCCACAATACTACAAGCAAGCAGCCCCACTGTGACACACCCTGAGTAAATCTCCGGGGAAAATTGTGGGCCCAGCAGCATGGGCTGCAAGAAGACTCTCGGTCAGCCCACCGTGATGTCACACGGTCCCCAAAAACGTTGTGCCGGGCAGCCCAAACAAATCCGCTGCATATCGTGCATACTGCAAAAAAGATTTACACCTCACGCCAGTGTTGCACATCCCGACCGTCGGCGCCCCAAGACTGGTCGGCACCTACCGGTCTGGTGTCGCCGGCAACCTGCAAAAAAACAAAATCGGTCCAGAACCCCCAATATCCCCACCAACACCCCCATACCCACCCCGAATACCCCCATACACGCCCCCGACACCCACAAACCGGCCCCCAACACACTCATACCCCCCCCAATACCCCGTATACCACCCCAATACGCCCCTATACCCACCCCTATACCTGTCTCTTATACACATCTAGATGTGTATAAGA